GCGTTGTCAACGACGTCAAGACATCCCGTAATTCTCTGAAAATAAATTAATATTCACCTAAAATTGTTGTATCTTTCATTCATTGGAAATGTGCTACAGTGGGAAAATTGAGAATGTCATTGTCCACGTTTGTCGTAATAGACCTTTGGAACAACGCGATCGGCCGGGAAACTAGCTGAAACAGTGAAACTCCAGGTCGAACAAATTGTGAATAGATATACTGTATGAAATGGTATTGTGAGGAAGTTTGTGTTTTCAACTTTGGCGATTGAAACTTTATGTAAATGGTGGAATTCAGCGTTGATTTTTTTTAAATCGCTGATGTGCCGTTTTATTTCTGGTCGACGCCACACTTTATAATAATAATTTCATTTATTACACCATAATGAAAGTTAACAAATAATTTTAGGCTGTTATGTAATAAATTTAAAAGTTTAAGAAAATTAAGATAAATGCAGTTTAAAATGCCTGAGATAGTGTGGTGATATACAATTATGTATGATAAGTACATGTCTATGTGTCATGTTTCTTGAAACAAAGTTTTAAGTATTTAGTCACATGCTTGATTAATTTATGTTCTTTTGTATTAATAATAGTTTTGAATTTGTTTATATTGTTTTCTGATTGAAAAGTGGGGAGTACATTTGTGAATTCTGTATAAAGTTTTTCTCTTTCAGTATTATAAATATAACACCTTATTACAAAATGTATTTCATCTTCAATTTCTGATGAAGTGCATTTTTTACAGATTCTTCTTAATGAAAATAGATCTTCGAAAATGAAATTATGATGCCATATGTGAACTAAATAAAAAATTGGTATACTCCTAGTGTAAGTCTCGGGTCCCTCGGTGGATGTTGTGTGTACTGCGACCTGTGAATGGGCATATACATATTCACGCAATCCTGTTGTTACATTGTATCATGGAGGAACTAACGGAATATGATGTAACCTCGCCAATTTTTCGATTTTTTAATGTGACCATATTATATATGTCTAGACACTTTCTCTGCAATAATATTTTTTAGGAGCCCTTAGGATTTTTTGTTGTAGACTCTCGAAATCTTGTTCTTGTTACAGTTGCTAATACATGTAATTAAAACATGTGAAGTAACAAGTTCGTCTGTTGAATTTCCAGTTGTGAAATACGTATTTTAACCCTTCACAGCTAAACAAACCCAGTGTATGGTCGCGTTAAAAAATCGTCCATGGCGATTTTTCGGCAGTTTTTAAATTTATTTTTTAAAATATTTTGTCGTAATTTATCGGACATTTCAATCGTTCCTGATGTTGGAAATCAAAATCACCGAGCTTGGTGACAGTTTAGGATTCGGCCTTCAGCGAGTTTAAACCTCTTACTCAATCACATTTATTTATTTATTAACACACAACATCCCTCGGAGGGGATGAAAAGGGTTACAAATCAGATATTAGTAAAAGAAAAATAACCACATAAAGAGTAAGGGAACAAAAAGGCATAAAAAAAAAAAAAAAAGATAATAAGTTGAATACAAGGAATGTATTACTGGCTTAGTTTATGTAGGTGCTGCTGTCTTGTATTAAAACAGTTTTTTAAATATTGCGCTAAAGGAATTGACATTTTCTCGTCACTTAGTAATGATATGAATTTAAAATTTTCATTACTAAATTTGTCAAAATTTGGTATACGTTTATTAGCTACAATGTAAAGTTTTGATCTTATTTCATTGTAATGAGGACAATTTGTGACAAAATGTTGTTCATCTTCAACATGGTCATTGTCGCACATATTGCA